TATAGTATTATGATAATTGTTCAAGGTCCACTTATGAGTGAGAACATGTGATACTCAGTTCTTTGTTTCTGTGATATATCACTCAGTATTATAGATCCATTCAGGTTGCTGTCAAGTTCATGATTTTGTTCTTTATGACTGCATAATATTCCATCATGTATATGTACCACATTTTTTAAACCAGTCCTCTTTTGATAGGCAGCACGGTTGGTTCCATGCTTTTGCTACTGTGCACAATGCTGCAATAAAAACATATATGTGCAGGTATGTTTTGTATAGCATGATTTGAGTTCTTCCAGGTATGTTCCCAGTAAGGGGGTTGTGGGGCCGTATGGAAGGTCAATTTTTAGATCTTTTAGGAGTCACCACACTGTTTTCCACAGAGGTTGTACTCGTTTACACTACCACCAACAATGTAGAATTGTTCCCTTTTTGCTGCATCCTCTCCAACTTCTGTTGTCTTTTGAGTTATTGATGATGGCCATCCTGACTGGAGTTAAGTATCTCAGTGTAGTTTTAATTTGAATTTCTTTGATGACTACTGAGGCTGAGCATTTTTTCATGTATCTGTTGGCTGCTCATATATCTTCTTTTGAGAAATGTCTATTCATATCTTTTACCCACTTTGTAATGGTATTATTTTTTTTTCTTCTTTCAGCATGTCTGAGTTCCTTGTAGATCCCAGATGTTAGGCCTTTCTTGGACATATAGTTGACAAATATTTTTTCCCACTCTGTAGGCTGTCTCCCTGATCTCTTGATGGTTTTTTTGGCTTTGCAGAAGTTTGTCAGCTTGATGAGGTCCCACTTGTCTATCTTATCTCTTATGGCATGGGCACTTGGGGTTTTGATCAGGAATTGGTGCCAGTTCCAATTTCCATAAAGGTGTCTCCTGCATTTTCTAAGATTCTTATAGTTTGAAGTTTTACATTTAGGTCGTTGATCCATTTAGAGTTAATTTTGTATATGGTGATAGGTAGGGGTCTTTTTTTAATCTTCTGTATGTGGTCATCCAGTTTTCCCATCACCATTTACTGAATAGGTTCTCCTCTCCCCAGTCATTGATGACATGATTCTATACCTTGAAAACTCAAGAGAATCTGTCAAAAATCTCCTTGTACTGATAAAGGAATTTGGCAAGTTTCAGGGCATAAAATCAATGTGCAAAAGACAGTTGCATTTCTATCCACCAACAATAAACAAACAGAAACCCAAATAAAAAGCACAATCCCATTCACAATAGCCAGAAAAAAAAAATCAAATACCTTGGCATCTTCCTAACCAGAGATGTGAAAGACTTTTACAATGAAAATTATAAAACACAGCACAAAGAAATCAAAGATGACACAATAGAAAAAAAAAATTCCATGCTCATGGATTGGAAGAATCAACATTGTTAGGGTATCCACTCTACCCAAGGCAATTTGCAGATGTAATGCAATACCAGTAGCATTCTTGTCAGTCCTGGAAATGACAATACAGAAATTCGTATGGAAGCATAAAAAACCATGAATCACCAAAACAATCCTCAGCAAAAAAAAAAAAAAAAAAAGCAGGAAGTATCACACTTACAGATTTTAAACTCTATTATAAAGCTACAATAATCAAAACAGCCTGGTATAGGTACAAGAACAGGCATATAGACCAAGGGAACAGAATAGAGATTCCAGAAGCAAAACCTCAATTTCTCTACCAACTTATCTTCAACAAAGCCTCCACCACCTACATTTTTTCAACAGCTATTCCTACTTCTCTTTCCAGCTGAGGAGGAGGAAAAAAACTAACATACATGTATGGGTTTCATTTACCATTTGTCCAGAGTTGGGGAGAGAAGTTTTAAATGGTTTGCTTTTAGGCAAAAAAGAAGGAAAAGGGAATAGATGGAATAGAAAGGCTAAAAAATTAAAAGTAGTCAAAATGATAGATTGAAGGATGCATCCACTTACATTCTTACTAAAACCATTTCTGAGTTTTATAAACATCTGGGCATTTATTCATAAGTACAGTAGTCTTGCTCATCTGCAGGTGACACATTCCAAGACCTCCAGTGGATGCCTGAAATCATGGATAGTACTGAACCTTATACATAGTATGTTTTTCTCTATTTTATAATAAAGTTTAATTTATTATTATATTATTGTGCTTATTGTAATATTAGGCACAGTAAGAGAGTAACAATAACTAATAAGATAGAGCAATTTCAAGAGTATACTGTAGTAAAAGTTATATAAGTGTAGTGTATTTCTCTCTCAAAATATCTCATAGTACTGTACTCACCCTTTTAATAACCAAGATGGCTACTAAGTGACTAACAGACAAACAGCCATATAGCATGGATACCTTGGATAAAAGGAAGATTTATGTCCTGAGTGTGATGGAGTCAGATATAAAAGATTTCTATTTATTCGTGGTACTCAGATACATAATTTAAAACATATTTCTGGAATTTTCCAATTAATATTTTTGGAGTTCTGTTGACCTCAGCTAACTGAAACTGCAAAAGGCAGAACCTCGGGTAAGAGGGACTATTATATGTATTTTCTCTTTAACTTTGGCAAAAGTATATCAATTATTTGTTCCCTTGCCCAAGAAACATCTTGATGTACTAGTACAAATGAGCCAATGCCAAGTATATTTTAAATGTGGATTTTTAAAATGAGAGAAAAAAGGCATAGTAAAAGATATTGTTATTATCTTTACCTTGAGCATTTTTGGTACATTTATCTTTCTTCCCAGCTTTTTCTATTGGCAAAATCTGTTTTGTTTTTCCTTATATATTATATTTGCTTGATATTTTTACATACCTTTTCTATCTGTGAGAAGTCATTTATAAGTTTGTCAAGATTCACATTGCAGATATTTTTCATACATCCTTCACCGTTGTGATCCATGCCTGAAACTGTCAAAGAGTAAATAGTATTAAAATAAATATGTAAGAACTAAAGCACAATAGTGGGCAGAATTTGAACACTAAATTTTCTGTCTTCTACTCATAGAATAGTACACTTCCCCATAGCACTCAGATAAGTGTTATATCCAATATTAACAATGGTCAAATGCAGTCTTCACTTCTTACCTCCTCCACCCCAGTCAATTTGTTTAGATTTTTTTCTCTAAACAAATCTAAAATTAGTGCAATGTCATGTGCACATATATAATTTACCCCAATTATACCAAAAAAACCCCAAACCAACAAGTATTGACAGTCTGACGTTCATCCCCTTGCCATCAGTATGGCTGGACTTAAAATCTGATGCATTATTAAATGAGGCAAGGCTTTTAAGTGTATATTCTTAATTTTTTTTTTTTTTTTTTTGAGTTTGAGTCTCACTCCGTTGCCCAGGCTAGAGTGCAATAGCACGTTCATGGCCACCCCAGAGTTGACCTACTGGGATCCGGTAATCCTTCTACCTCAGTCTTCCAAATAGTTGGAACTATAGGTGCGCACTACCACACCCAGCTAATTTTTTATTTATAGTAGAGACAAGGTCTCACCAAGTTGCCCGGGCTAGTCTCAAATCCAAGGACTTAGGCATCCACTGGCCTTGGCCTCCCAAAGTGCTGGGATTACAAATTAAGCAACCAAGCCCGGCCTATTCTTAATTTAAAATGCTAAAAATATGTCTAACTATCATGCCACAAATATTTCCTGGCAGTGTGCTTATTTTTTATATTTTGTTTGGTAAACTGATAAATAAAGAACATATGGAAATTAATGTGCTCACAGCAATCTCTGAATTTCTATTATCTTGCAATTATGTGTAAGATTAACCTTTGGAAATAGCCAGCTGTTTAAGTGAGGAAAAAGATTTTCAGTTTAAATCCTATGAAACCAACAATAAGAAATTCCTCAGAATCCCAGACATAAACTCATTCAGTCAGGATAAATTGAGTTTTGCAAGGTAGCCAGCATTTACATTTGGGAGTTACAGGGTGTCTAGAAGGCATTAGAATTAACACAGTTTTAAAGTAAGAGACACTTGCCTTAGGACTTTTAGAAGAAGAGGAAAATACAACTTTGAAATGTAGTCATTTTAGATTGAGGAAAGAGTATGAGCCAATGTATAGTGTGGCAATTAGTCCAAAGTAAAAAGTAAGTAAAATTACTGAAGTAATCACTCAAAGTACCTTGGGGAATATTATGCTTCTTATTATTTTTAATTTTTATTTCAATGGTTTTAAGGGGTACAAATAATTTTTGGTTACATGGATGCACTATATAGTGGCAAAGAAGTCTGGGCTTTAAGTGTACTCTTCACCTCCACCTGTGTGCATTGTAACTAATAGCGATTTATTTCATCCCTACCCCCACTATCCTTCCTCTTCTGAGTCTTCAAAGTCCATTATGCCATTCTGTAGGGGACATATTATTGTTTTTTAAAATGTATACCAAAACAGACATTGCCTGACAATACGTTATTTCATCAAGAAATTCCATTTTTTCTTTTTTATGCTTACATTAGCAATTAATAATTAAATATTAATTATTAATTAAACAATTAAATGACATTATTACAATTTTTTTTTTTTTTTTAGTCAGAGTCTCACTCTGTCACCCAGACTGGTATGCAGTGGTTACCACAGTCTTGAACTTCTGGACTCAAGCGATCCTTCAGCCTCAGCCTTCCAAGTAGCTGGCACTACAGGCGCACATCACCATACTCAGCTAATTTTTTTTATTTATTGTAGAAACAAGGTCTTGCCCAGGCTATTTTCGAACCCCTAAGCTTGGGCAATACTATCACCTCTGCTTCTCAAATTGCTGGAATTAAAGGTGTGAGCCACTGCGTCTGGCAATTTTTAAATCTTTTTTTTTTTTTTTGAGTTGAAGTCACTCTGTTGCCCAGACTGGAGTGCAGTGGCCGCTCCCAACCACTGCAGCCTCGCCTTGTTGGACTCTGGCGATCCTTCCGCCTCAGCCTTCAGAATAGCTGGAATTACAGGTGAGCGCTACCACGACCGGCTACTTTTTTGATTTATTGTAGAGATGAGGTCTCGCCAAGTTGCCCAGGCGGGTCTCGAACCCGCGGGCTCAGGCAATCCACTCACCTCAGTCTCCCAAAGTGCGGGATTATGGCTGAGCCACCAAGCCCGGCTAATTTTTAAATCTAAGAGGAATTTTAGCTGTACATTTTCAGTTTATTGAATTATTATTTTCTATACTACATATGAAAGTAAAACTATATGCACAATATCTTAAATCATTAAAACTTAATCCTTGCAGCAGAAAAATAATTGTAATAGCCCCCCATGAGAAATATAGTAAAATGTTTTTTGAGGTAAAATTTTAAATTATTACTATTTGATATTACTGCTATTCTTTAATAGAACTATGGGGGCAATCTGAAGTAGTTAATGCAAAATCCCTCCATTCCCAACATTTTTTTATTTGTAGTACCTAACTTTTTTTTTTTTTTTTGAGTTGGAGTCTCACTCTGTCGCCCAGACTGGAGTGCAATGGCCGCTCCCGGCCACCGCAACCTAGACCTGCTGGGCTCCGGCGATCCTTCCGCCTCAGCCTTCCGAGTAGCCGGAATTACAGGCGCGTGCTACCATGCTTGGCTGATTTTTGATTTATAGTAGAGATGAGGTCTCGCCAAGTTGCCCAGGCGGGTCTCGAACCCGCGGGCTCAGGCAATTCACTCACCTCAGCCTCCCAAGGCGTGGGATTACATGCTGAGCCACCGAGTCCGGCTAGTACCTAACATTTTAAATAAAAAATGTTTTAGCAGGATTTTGCCTCAGAATCTGGCTTTTGAACTACATGCATTTTAATTTGAGCTTGATTTTCTCTAAACTCCTCGCCCTTTTTAATAAGACCCTTAGAGTGTTTTTCCTAACAAAACTATCACTAATATTCCACTTGCTATTATTGCTTGCATGGACCCCTTTTGTCACACTGGCAGAACCAGCCAATTTATTTCTGGGTGTCTTCATTGCCCCCTCTTTCAGGTCAAGATCCCTTCTGTGGATATGATCTTCTTGGCTGCTGGCATTAGGAGATAAGCTGGAGATTTAGAATTTGTTAAATTCTTTAGTGAGCAGCAGAGATTCATCTTCAAGGCCCAGCTTCAACCATCCCCATTGGCGAGTGACCATCCTAATTCCTCTTGGTACTCTTTCCTACTGACTTGAGTCCAGGACCCTTCCCTCTCCCCGACCCCCCCTCAGTCAGGTCTTGTCGCTTGTTCAAAGCAGCCTGGGGTCATCGCCCCTTCCCTCCTCACCATCCTTCGTGAATTCATCCTCAGTCCTGAAGCTTGAGGCGTCCGGCACCGTATCCGGGTAAGGGCCCAACAGGGTGGGGGCTGAGGACCCGCAGGTGTGAGAGAAGAGGCTGAGACAAAACCCTGTACCGACCCAGGACACTGTAAGGAGGTGTAATGAGAATCTCCATGGACAAAGTGGGAATTTCGAGCCCTCATAAAGAGTTTGGAGCGTACCTGCTGTTGCTCCAGGTTCCCCCATTGTCTCCCGGTTATGGCCTCCGGTGCTTGGTCCGCCCCTGACTGCTGTCCCCTCCCAGGGAAGCGAGATCCCTCAAAAATGGGCCCGCTGGCTCTTCTCTTGGCCCCACCTGTGCCCTGTCCTGGAGCTGCCAGCAATCTTTACCAACTTGGTCCCAGCTCCCCTCAGGCATCTACTGCTTCTTAAGTATTTTCAGGTGGTTTCTAGAACATAAATCAACACTAGACCAATAATTGTTTTCCCAATCAAAGAATAAATCACATTGGTTAAGTCTTGATTTGTGTGGTAGCACCATTGAATAAATAATCATCTATATCTTATTATTGTTATTTATGAAGTCGGTTTTTAAAGTGCCAGAGTCAGTTAACAGATATGGTTTCCCGTCTGCAGAGTTTTGTAGCTTACTGATTAAGGGCGTGGGCTCTTGTGTGGATTCAAGCTCCAACTCTTCTATTTATTCCTGGGTGATCTCGGGCAGATTCTGAAATGTATGTGCTGCAGCTTCTTTATTAATAATGCCTACCTCTTAAGGATTTTGTGATGATTAAATGACATGAAGCATGTAAAGGTGTTTGATGAAGTTCTTTGCTTAAAATAAGTGTTTAAAAATGTTAATTATTGTAATTTTTAAATGTTATTCAATAACTGCCAACTTTACCTTATCTGATTTTTTTTCTGAGTGGAAGATGGAAACTTTATTTTTTATTAATTTCATTTTTCTGTGGAATACAAAATTGATTAAGCAGAATATAAACAGTAATATTATGATCCATCCTTTGTTAGCTAAAAGGTAAGATAACATAGTGACAAGAGAACTAAATTAAAGTAGAAAACGTGTAATGTAGTCCTCATTCTATTGCTCAAATAAACTTTTCTTAAAATTAATAACAACATATAGGGATACCAAAAATGGCCTTCTAAACTATTGACTATATTCAGTGAGCACACAAAATGTTCCATGTGATTCATGTCATAATACTTTTTGAAACAATACCATTTTAAGACCCACCTAAAATGTTACCATCTCCATGAGTCTCATGCATTTATTATCAATCAGTGGTCACTTATCTTTTTTTACTCTATGGAACATGCTGACCTTCTTATGATATTTGTTAGGACTGTTTGAATTGATGTATTATCTATCCTGTTGAATTTATTATTAGCTCTTTGGGAAAATAAACACTTTTATTTATGTCTATACCCATGGAGCCTACTAGAAATAGAGAAAATGTAAATGAACACCTCCCCTCCTCCAAAAAAAAATCAGGAAAGTTTAGCTTGATTTTTCTAGTTTGGAAAACTAGAAACGTGGAAGAATCACATCTTTCTCTTCCAGTTTAAAGATGTTATCATGTTTTCCAAAGACTCCTACTGAATTCAAAATATGTTTGTCAATGTAAAACTACATGATCTTTCCACGATTTCGTCTTTTAAAAAGAATGCCTTTCACAGTTGTATTTAGTTTTATTCCTCAATACAATTCAATCGATTTTAAAAATTCATCATAGATTTGCTCAGAAAATGACCATTTTCTGATTGATCAACGATTCATTGAATATGTATTCAGAAACTGCCTAGAAAACCATAAGATAGAAAAAAAATGCATTATCATGCCACACTAACAAAGTATTATTGGAATCCTATTAAAAATACTCTGATTTGGATGAGAAATGCATATGCATGTAGGCAACTGGAAAAAATCAGAAGCTATAGATTTATGTGTATAAGTATCTTGAAATGAGGGATACATGCATTTTTTAAAGATTACAAACAATGTCATTTCTTTATTCATTCTAGAGTAGTTAAGCACTTGCAAAATATCAGCTACTGAAGGTTTGGGACTTACAGTTTCAAAGGAAACACTAGCAGGGGATTGAAATCTAGTATACATTATTGAAAATATTGTTTTAGCCTTAGAATCTCACCTCATTACTTTAGTTGCCATCACCAGTGTGTTATAAAAGCAAAATATGACAGTGTCACTCCCATATTATAGCTGGTGTTTATAAGTGGCTTAGCTAATCTATTGAGTTCTCTGTTCCAGCCCTATTAATTAATATCCTTACCTCTATTCAGGACATGTATTGTTTTTGGTCTGCCTAGTCAAATTTGCCAATTGCTGAAATTCCAACTTAGTCTCATTTCCACAAATATTTGTTTATAAAATTGTATAAGTAGGAAAAAATTTACACAAGGTGAAATATAAATTAAAAATGGAAGTAAAGACCAGGAGAGAATATAAAACACAGATATACTGACTCATAGGTCTATATTCCTGCCACAAATTTGGTTTTGAATTTCCTGCTGGTCAAAATAAAAAAGAAGTGAGTCTCAATTATTCAGTTTTTCTTTTGAAAGAGGAAAAGATATACAAGTTTCTCAGGAGGAAGAGAGTGTTCCATAATTCTAACCTCTTAATTTATCACATCAAGATTTATATAGGAGGCATTGTATAATTTAATAGGCAATTTCTTAAATAGTAACCTGAGAGCAAAGGCAGAGATGAGCTTTGTAAGACTTTCCTAAAGGTATCTCTATTTAAAAGGGTGGAGTAGATCAGTGATGTCAATCATAATGAATCACAGTCTAAGCCTCTGCCATTCAAAGTGTGGTCTCTGGACCAGCAACATCAGCATTACCTGTGAGCTTGTAAAAATGCAGTCTCATACTTTAACCCGTAACTACCAATTCAGAGTCTGCATTTTAACAAGATTCCCCGGAGATTCATGTGAACATTAATGCTTAAAAAGCAGGAGACTTCTAAGTACAAAGCTTTAAAAGCTTTTTTTATTTCCCTCCTTTGCCTTTTTATGACTATCAGCACTTACCCATTTATTTATTCAAGAAATATTTGTTGAGCATTAATCATGTTCTGAGATCTGTGGGAATAGATTTGGTCCCTGACCCCAGAGGTCTTACAATTTATTAGGGAAATAGATAATAAACAAATAAATTACACACGCACACACACACACACACACACACACTATAATAAGTGCATAAAAAGAAACATAAATATATTATATTGATTTTAAAGGTGAGTGAGAATTGCTTTAGATATAGTGGTCAGGGAACGTCTGAGTAGGTAAGTTGAAAGCAAGACCTGAAGGACACGTCAAAAAGGTAGCTGTAGGCCACAGATAAATGTCAGGGCTACCCTTTTCCTCTGGGCTTGCTCTCTTGATACACATCTCCCTGTTCCGGTCCTTCTGTTTGAGTCCCATGTTTCAAATCATATGGCCTTGGCTTCAGCTGCAACTTCAGTTTCCAGTCCTGTAGTGCCCTGGCTCTCAGTATTACTTGCAGTAATTAGGTAAAAGACACCCCTTGTACCAAGTCTATGACACTATGGAACTCTGTTGGTTAGACTCATCCCCATCCTTTTCCAAATGCAGAGAGGGATTTGAATATGTTTGCAGAATAAAGCCTAAATTATGCAGTACTTGGATTACTTTCCTTAAAACAATTCACTTATATGTGTAAATATTCCATCTCTTAACAAGCTTCTGTTAAGAGTAGAATAACATTACTATCTGGGCACAATTTGTATTTTTGATTGAGGACAGGAAATGTTGCTATTCTACTTAATTTATTGAGATCAATATACTTTAGAAAGTGAGTATATGGTAAGGGTGACTTTTTTTTTTTTTTTTTTAATAATTAAGGAGTTTAACAAACTCTCGATGGCCTGGCATTCCACAGCTACTTGGAGGTGACTATGGGAGTACTTTCAGGAAAAGTAGGACTTTAAAAAAAAATGCAGTTTTAAGTCTGTTCAATTACATAAACAAATGATTAATGATGCCGTCATAATAGAGCATAATAGAGTAGGTTTGATGTTTTGGGCCTAAAATATTTTGCTACTCCTAGAGAACATCAACTTTTTCATAATCTGCCTTTTTCTTGATAACCTTGGCGGAGGAGGTTGGGTGAATGGGCCTTTAGACATTCTGAGCTTCAGAGGCTGGCTCTGCCCCTAATAGCTATGTGATCCTAGGCAAATCAATTTATCTTTCTGACCTTCTGTTTCATTATTATAAAACGTGAGCAAACCTCTGAGCATTATGGTAGTGATAAAATGTTTGACCCTGAGCCAGTCTGGAGTAGGTCAGAAATATGTATTTGTTGAATGAAAGAAATAATGAATTCAAGAATGAAAGAAATAATGAAACCATTGATTCCTATATCAGCAAGCTATTGTGATATACTAAAACACTAAAATTTAGTAATTTGAAACAACCACTTATTTAGCTCATGCTATTTAAAGTCAGCAATTTAAATTGGCCTCAGGTAGGCAATTTTTCCAGTCTTGGCTGGATTCTTTTTTTTTTTTTTTTTTTGAGTTGGAGTCTCACTCTGTTGCCCAGACTGGAGTGCTGGAGTGCAGTGGCCGTTCCCGGGCACCGCAGCCTCGACCTGCTGGGCTCCTGCGATCCTTCCGCCCCAGCCTTCCGAGTAGCCGGAACTACAGGCGTGCGCTACCACTCCGGCTGATTTTTTGATTTATTGTAGAGATGAGGTCTCGCCAAGTTGCCCAGGCAGGTCTTGAACCCGCTGGTTCAGGCAATCCACTCACCTCAGCCTCCCAAAGTGCTGGGATTACAGGCCGAGCCACCGAGCCTGGCTTGGCTGGATTCTTAATGCTTCTGCGCTCAGGAAAGAGGTTTAAGTGGTTTCACTGATCTTGACTGAATTCTCAGTCTCTGGAGCCTTGTTGGGATGACTCCTTACTCTGTCACTGGGTCTCTCATTCTCCAGCAAGCTCAGCCAGACTTGTTCTCAGAGAATATCAGGGTTTCAAGAGAGAAACCAGAGACATGCAAGGCACTCTAGAGCAATGGTCCCCAACTTTTTTGGCATCAGGGTCCAGTTTCATGGAAGACAATTTTTTCCACGGATCATCAGGCATTAGATTCTCACAACGAGTGCATTGCCTAGCTCCCTTACATGCACAGTTCACAATAGATTGCCCCATGAGAATCTAATGCCAACGCTGATCTGATAGAATGCGGAGCTCTGCTTGCCTGCTCACCTC